CACAACACTTCACGTCGATGCCCTGCGACGAGGCGAACAAACAGCATGTTGATTGGACGAGTCGAATTATGGTGAGAAAAAAAATATTTATTTGTGTAGAGCTGGAACTTGGCCCAAATTAAGTGAGAACTATTTTTAGCACGATGGTTAGCGTAGTCGTTGGTGATTTGGCCGACATCAAATGTACACATTTAAGGGTACGGTTTAAACATTAGGCGGTTGTTGCTTGGATTCAAACCCAGGGTCTCGGCGATTCTGGCTCAATGCCCTCGCTGCAGATCCGTCCATCCGTCCGTCCCAACGACACTCAAGATAAACAACTGGAGCTGCTCAGAAATCCATCAGCAAAAAAAGGCATTTTGAGATGAAATTGGGTTTCAAATAGATTTCAGTGAGGAGCCTAAAGGATATCAGTCCATTGTACAACGTCAGTCTCTTAGAAACTCAACCGCATCGGCTTGAAAACAGTAATTGAGGTGCTGCTCAGTTAGTCCTGAAATTTGCGGATAAAATAAAAACCAAACAGACGAATACATGATCATAGGGGTTTTCCCCTTTTCTCCTGGCAACGAAACAGCGGCGTTAAGATGTTAAAACACCAAAACTGAAACCTTTTAACAAGGAATCACGTTGCTGCATTAACCACAATGCTTGTGGTCAGAATGCAAACAAAAACAACACACTCTGATAATATTTGATGATGCATTGTCTTTGAAAACTGATTGGCCCACACCAGAGACAGCTTTCTTAGGAGCCTCGTCTCAGACGGTGTTAGACCAGAGGACGCCAAAAGGCCAAAAATGCGTCTCTGGTGTAGACCCAAGCAGTTTCAAAGACAATGCATCATCATATATGATCAGAGTACGTTTTTTGTTTGCATTTTGACCACAAGCATTGTGGTGAATGCAGCAACGTGATTCCTTGTAAAAGGTTTCAGTTTGGCGTTTTAACATCTTGACGCCGCTGTTTCGTTGCCAGACAAAAAGGTGGACAAACCTACCATCACTTTTTGGCGCTGGCAACAGGAGGTCCCAGGATAAGACAAATGTTGTCTGACCATTGTCGCGCGTGGCAGGACTTGTAACACACAAACTACATTCCGCTGCAAATCATGAATTACCTCCGTGATAGAGGTGTTTTTTGTGTTAGATCGCGTAAATATATGTGTCGTTAAACCCGCCACCACCCGACGCAGCCAGTTAGTTTGTCCCGTGAACAGAACGTGGCCCAATTCGTCACTAGCACGGCAACAGCGGTGCGCTGGAGAGCAAAGCCCAAACATGAACAACGTGAACACGACGTTTCGTCAGTAATCACAACAAGCAGCTTCACCGACGTTCGGTGCTTCTCGGCTATCGGCCGTCAGAGGGGCCTGGCCGGATTTCCCTTGCCGCCCCTCTGGGCATCACCGACCGAGACCCCCAGCCGACGTGACTCTTGCGTCACGTGCTGCGCCGCCCCCGGCCGTTCGTCCGGCCCGGGGAATGAATCTCGTCACTTGGGGACCACGACAGTCACCAGGGGCCCTTCTTGATGACGGAGTGGCCTTGGCAAATCCCCCCAAGCCTTTACAATCAGCGGTGCAGATTTGTTGTGTGGTAACACCGCAGTGCCGCTGCAATGCCAGCGCTTTTAAAGCGTAGGCCGATCAATGATTTTACTTTCGTCGGAGGATGTCTCTGTTTAAGACAACATCATGGTTTATAATGGCTGCTGTGAATTATACGAAGCATTTCTGAACGGTTTAACACGTAGCAGGCTGTAACGAACATTATCATCCACGAGAGGTTTTTGTGGGGTCAGATCGCGTACAAATATAAATGTTGTGTCGTTAAAACCCGCCACCACCCGACACAGCCAACCAGTAAGGGTTGTCACATGAACAGAACGTGGCCGATTCGTCACTAGCACAGCACGAATGTGTAGTGTAGTGTATAGTGTAGTGTATATTAGTGTATAGTGTAGTGTATAGGGTAGTGTATATTAGTTTATAGTGTAGTGTATATTAGTGTATAGTGTAGTGTATAGTGTAGTGTATAGTAGTGTATAGTGTAGTGTATATTAGTGCATAGTGTAGTGTATAGTAGTGTATAGTGTAGTGTATAGTGTAGTGTATATTAGTGTATAGTGTAGTGTATAGTAGTGTATAGTGTAGTGTATAGTGTAGTGTATAGTGTAGTGTATAATAGTGCAGTGTATAGTGTAGTGTATAGTAGTGTATATTAGTGTATAGTGTAGTGTATATTAGTGTATAGTGTAGTGTATAGTGTAGTGTATAGTAGTGTATAGTGTAGTGTATTGTGTAGTGTATATTAGTGTATAGTGTCGTGTATGTCAGTGTATAGTGCAGTGTATAGTGTAGTGTATAGTAGTGTATAGTGTAGTGTATAGTGTAGTGTATATTAGTGCATAGTGTAGTGTATAGTGTAGTGTATAGTGTAGTGTATAGTGTAGTGTATATTGGTGCATAGTAGTGTATAGTAGTGTATAGTGTAGTGTATAGTAGTGTATAGTGTAGTGTATATTAGTGTATAGTGTAGTGTATAGTGTAGTGTATAGTGTAGTGTATATTAGTGTATAGTAGTGTAGTGTATAGTGTAGTGTATAGTGTAGTGTATAGTGTAGTGTATAGTGTAGTATACTAGTACAGAACACCGGTTGTGTGTTGGACAGCCAAGCCACGACATTAACAAACTGAGTACCATGACGTTTCGCCATTAATCACAACGAGCTTCAGGTGACAGCTAGCCAGCTCTCCAACACACAACCGGCGTGCTGTACCAGTGACGAATTGGCCACGTTCTGTTTACGTGACAACCCTCACTGGTTGGCTGTCTCGGGTGGCGGCGGGTTCAACAACACAACATTTACACATTTACGCGATCTGACCCCAAAAAACCTCCGTTATTGATGAATTTGTTAACACATTCGCGGGCTTCCGTTGACTTCTGTTCTTCACCGTATGGCTCTGCCTTGAATAACTCACCCACGAGCGAGGAGGGCCTTTGACAGACCGCGCGGTGTTGTACGGTAGAGCGTAGTGACCCGTGAGAGTGCAGCGATCACTCAACATAGACGTTGGACTTCTTTCGCGCCGTACGTGGCAATCCAAACAATTCCTTACATGGGAAAAAAACCAATGAATAACGATTGAATGATTACCAATCTATTATATAATTACAATACCCGCTCCGCCTCAAATCACCGCACCAGACTGGGTTAAATGATGACGTCACCCTGCTGCTGCTCTATTTAAGACCGGGAGCAAGTGGAGAGGGCTTCACCATTCTGGCAAATCGCCCGTTGATACTGAATGTAATTACCAGCGAAACGTCGTACTACTCAAAAAATGTAAATGATGTTGATTCACTCTTCAACACACCGATTGGCTAAAGCAGTGAACTATTTGTCTTTTTTAAACGTGACACTTTTTTTACTGTTTGGCTGTGTCGGGTGGTGGAGAGTTAAAACACATTAAATAACACGATCTAACCCAAAAACCTTGATTGTGAATAATATTGGTCGCGAAAGCCTACGTGTTAAACTCAACATAAATAATATGTCGAGAAAACCACGTATACGCATCTGCGTGAACGTGGACAACGTTGCGGACATAACCCACCCCCCAAGTCTATCACTGTGGCAGTCAGAGTGATGGCGTTGGGGGCAGGGTGTCTCTTGATTGATGAGGAGCGAGGGACGCACGTGGGGAGGGGGGCAGGGCTTTGTGGAAAGTGGCTGCAGGTGTGTGTGGGATGAGATCATCTCGGGAGCACGTGGACTCGTGATGAGCACGCCGTGATGACTAATTTGACAAACAACAAGATCTATAAAAGGGCCCTCCGCTGACACTGCGGGGGTGTGGATTCCACTGCCTGCCTGCCCGCCTACCTGCCCGCCTGCCTGCCTGCCTACCCGCCTGCCTGCCCCACCTGCCTGCCCTGCCTTCCTGCCTGCCAGCCTACCTACCTGCCTGCCAGGCTGTGTACCTGCCTGTGCACCTGCCAGGTGAGACTGCCGACGACGGGGAAACTCGTCCACGGCCCGTGGAGCACGTCCCGAAGTGTCGCACCGTTTGCAATCGGAATGGCGCCACATTGCGGGCGAGTTTTTTTTCGTCTTCACGCGAAAGGATTTCGCTCCTTAGCCGCTTCGCCCCGAAGGGAGCGAGCGAGTGGTCAAACTTCCGGCCTTAAAAATATAAATATGATGAACGTAGGTGGAGTCAATTCTTGACCCTATTTCAGTTCCCTCGCTCACGGCCAACGCCAGTGACGATTATCTGAACCGGTCCTGGGCCTCCCCTAGGTATACTCGGCCTCAAATGAGCACACCTGGTGCGATGGGTAGACCTCGCCACAGGGGAGACAAAGGCGGCCGAGCGTGGCGCCGCTACTCGCTAACGGTACTTGCCTCGATGGTCTAAGGCTTGCACGGGGGACCTTTGTCTTTGTGTGTGCGTGTGCAAGTGTTTCACGGTGGGGAGCATGAAACTCCCCGGCCCATCGCGCTCTTCAGACGATACCGGGGAGACTCATCATCCTCACATGCCCTCACCCCCCTCCACCAGCAGCCACGCTCCATTGAGACTACCGTAGTTTCAAGCATGTAACCCGCAGAAATTCAGATAGCCCGCACCTCCATATACCCCGCATGCATTCATAGATTTAACGTCGTTACCGCAGCTTAATTCCATCGTACCCACCAGAGTGACGGCAGTCGAGTTGGTCACGATCACTGTGGCTAGGAGATGTTAACTCCCTCGCCTGGTACGCAAGCGGTCGTGGGTTCGATCCCGCGTACCACGCGAGGTAATGAACATCTCCCAGCCACCATGGTGGTGATGATGATGATGAGCGAGACGTGAAAACTCAAAACATACGGCAGCGGGCATCGTCAGGGTCGAACCCACGACCTCTTGTGTACCAGGCGAGGGAGTTAACATCGTCACCACCGGGCCGCTTCTCTTCTGCGCAGCGCCGCTGACCACGAGGATTTCGATGGATCCCCTGCGACGTGTGGACTGGTTCCCGCTGGGGCTCTGCGCCTTGGCACAGCTGTGGGCAGTCGCCAGCGCCTCCTTGTGGTGACCGCAAGCCGCCGCCACTGCCGCTGTCTTCGTCCTCACTGCTGCGATGAGAGCTCACAAGTTTCGACGTCGATTTGAGCAACCTTCTTACCTTGCCTCTATTTTGCACACTCAATACGGTTGTTGTACGGGATTTTTTTTATCGTGTGCGTGTATATACATCACATATACAGTATCTAGCGCGGTATATTGGGGCACCATGGTGGCTAGGAGATGTTGACGACCTCGGCTGTTATGCAGGAGGTCGTGGGTTCAATCGCGACCTTGACACATGCCGTATATTTGGAGTTGCTATATTTTCCCCGTGGTCGTCTTAAGAATTTTTATTCCGGGGTCCTCCGATTATTCCCTCCACATTTAGAAGCACGCGTTGAGAGTGTTTGCCTACTGCTGTAAGTGTCAGCGTGATGATCGCCAGGTCGCCGCTGAGGAAAGAGTCACTTGGCTCGGCCGGGGTCTTGCGCGCTAAAAGACAATCGCTTGTTTCCCATCCTGCGCCCATGTAGCGTCCTCCTCCGGCGTGCGGCACGCACACGCACAGTCGGAGACGATGCAGTCGCAGGAGGCACCGTCTCTTATTTCCGTTACACCAACTCCGGCCTCTCTCTCTCGACCACGCTGCCGTACAGCCGCGGCCCAGACACGACCCTGAACCGCGTTGCGTCGACCGAGACGACCAACCGCTGTCCGGCCGCACAATTACCGGTGAAGGCGACAATGAGAAGAAGAGTCCATTCCCAGTACCGGCAGCCCGGAGCGCTCTCACCGCTGCTTTTATATTGCCCCTGGCCCCTGGCCTGGCCTGGCCCCGCCCCTGGCCCTGCCCTGGCCCCGCCCCTGGCCCCACCTCCCTTCTCAAACCAACCAGAGGGTTCCAGGGGCCTCCCTCCCTGTGAGGTCTTCCGTGACCCTTGCCCCGGTTCCTCCGCCCTGCCGGCACGCAGCGGCCCTGTGTAGACTCTCGACGGCGTGAGTGCACTCGCTGTCCACAGCAGTTGCCGCCGCTGGACAGCGGTCGGCGCTGTGTCACTACACAACTTCAGAGAAGAATAACTCGTGTGTGTGTGTGTGTGTACATCGTGTAATATTCAAATTTACAAACCTGTAGAAATTCCACAGATATTTGCTCTATTTAACTTTTTATCATGTAGCACTTTTTCAGGAGAGGCCTGGCTATCGCACTTTATAGCTCAAGCAAGTGGCCGATATCATCATCACGTGGTGATTTATAGCAGCAGCCAAATCACTCCAAACGCGTAGAGACGTTGATTCTAAACCAGAGGGACCTGGAGATGAATCCACGCAACCACGGAGAGAGACATGCAAACTCAAAACGTACATGCAGCAGCAGGCATTTTTTAAGGGGTTGGGATCGAACCCACAACTGCCTGCGTACCAGGCGAGGTAGTCAACATCCCCCGGCCACCGTGACTTCCGCCCCCATCCCTCTGCAGGTCGCTCGCACTGTGGGTCCCCAACTTTGACCCCTCCGAGTATCGGCCGCTGTGCATTTGGGTGCCGGGGCTGTCTCCCGCACAGCGCAGAATATGCCTGCGGCACCGGGACCACGTGGCGCACGTGGCCGAGGGCGTCCACCTGGCGCTGTCCGAGTGCCGGCACCAGTTCCAGGGCAAACGGTGGAACTGCACCGTGCCTGGCGCGGAGGACGCACTGGACCTCGTGGCCGAGTCGGGTAAGGGGTCAGAGCGAGCCCGCCACATCCACTCGCACCTAAGGTGCCCGACCGCTTCCCCGAGACACGCACACAGAAGCTTTTTTGGGGGGGGAAAGGGGGGGGGTCGGGGGGGGTCGCCCACCTCCCACCCCTACGCGACTCTGCTTCGGAGTTCCCGCGTTCCTCCTCCAGGGGTTTCCCCCTCCCCTACGCGACTCTGCTTCGCAGAGTTCCCGTCCTCGGGCAGCGAGAGATGTCCGCGGGCGGCCCAAGCGGCCGCCCCGTTATCCCGATGGCAACCGCCTTCGCTCTGGGCCAGTGCCAGGCTGCGGCTCGCTCGCTTCACTGCTCCTGACGCTCCTGGCACGCCTCTTGGGGGTCCCGGACGTCCCACCGGCCCTAGTTCGCTCCCCAGGTCGGCCGCTGTAAAAGCAGCGATCGTAATACCCGTCACCTGATCGTTTCCCTGTCCCGAGATCTATTCCGCGGAGTTGGAGACGGCGCTCGGCTCCTACCCGCGGCGACGATCCCCCTGGTCCCCACTCGTGTCGGTCCTTGAGGGTGGGAGCTCTCCCCAGCCGCTCGTGCTGCTGCCGCTTCTGAGCTGCGCGCCCCCACGCCGCCGATTCGGGGGCTCTCCTTTCGCAGGGCCGCGGAGCCCATTGTTCGGTCCCCGGGCAAATCCCGTGAGAGGGGTCTGTCTCTAAATAGGCGACGTTTTCCCTACCACCTGCTTGGCGTGTTCTCCCCCAAAACCCCTTCCCACACCGGTCTGGCCGCACCGTCTCCAGCTGACGGGGCGGGCTTCACGCACGACGCCCCCCTGGGAGTCTCCCCAGGCTCGCGCGAGGCCGCGTTCGTCTCCGCCGTCACCGCTGCCGGAGTGGCCCACGCGGTGGCGCGCGCCTGCCGCCAGGGGGCCCTGCAGGGTGCTTGCTCCTGGGTCGTTCCCCACGCCATGAAGCTACCGCCGGATGCTCGGCGGGGCGGCTCCGGAGACGACGTCGAATACGGATACCAATTCGCCAAGTGGTTCGTGGATGCGGGCGATCACAATCGTGGCAGCGGGCAAGGAGGGGAGTCTTTGGCGATGAATTTGCACAACAACGAGGCCGGCCGGCTGGTGAGTGGGTGAACGGGTGGGTTGTGCATGTGTGTGTATTGTCATTAAAAAAACAAATGTAATGGAAAAAAGTTATTTTATGCGATCAATGCAAATTAGGTTCGGCTTTGTCGGCTCGGGTTGTATTACCAATCGTGATTGATGCAATGATTCTCGCTTTAACTTTCACCGGTTATATTCTTGGTTCTTTCGGTGAAGTCATGTAGAAGGGAAACAATAAAATAATAAAAAAATAAAAATATGAACATTAAAATTCTCACGACGTTTCGACTGCAACACAAACAATCATCATCAAAATTTGAAGAAAAAAACACAACTTTTTTCAAATTTTCTTGCTGTGGTTTTCACACCTGATGATTGCTTGTGTTGCAGTCGAAACATCGTGAGAATTGAATTGGCTTATATATTTATTTATTATTTCATTTTTCCCTTCTACGTGACTTTACCGAAAGAACCAAGAATATTAATCCCTGCAATCACGAAAGCTTTAAATCAAAATTTTACCGGTTTATGTTTCAAGTACAATAACGTCTGGTCGCAGGATACAGTTCTTACATTTAAGATTATTGTTATGCATGAATCTTGATTTGAAGCTTTCGCGACTGCAGGAATCCACACCCCTTTGGGTTCTTTCGGTAAAGTCATCACGGAGGTAGAAAAAATAAAACGTCCACGCTGTTTTGATCGCAACACCACAAAGCGGTCGTCTTTAGGGCGAAAAAGCATACCCCAGCAGTTGAACTGCTGGAGCAGCGAGAGAGCCGTTACACACAGCAAGAGGTGATGTTTGTGGCGAAGGGCACGCTGGGTCTGAGCTGGAAAGGAATTCCATCCCCGGACGCAGGCACAGGTGCCGTCGTGACGTCACCGCCACTTGTTAGCGAACGGCGGTTGGTAGTGGCGATTATGATGGTGGCGGTGAGTGTGGTGGTGGTGGTGACGATGATGACGGTGGTGGTGGTGGTGCTGCAGGCGGTGTACAATCTGGCGTACATGGGCTGCAAGTGCCACGTGTTATTTGGCACCTGCATGCTGAAAATCTGCTGGCAGCAGCTCGCCGACTTTCGCAGCGTTGGGAACTTTCTGAAGGTGAGCTCACGGCTGCAGGTGATGAGACTGCACCCAGAGGAGGTGAGTGTGGGGTGGGAGTGACGAGGATGAAGCCTTCTAGATTTGAAGTTTCATGACCGCAAGGATCTTTCGGTAAAGTCACGGAGGTAAAGAAAATAAAAAATAAAAATATTTAAAAAATCACGACGTTTCGATTGCAACACAAGCAATCGTCATCAGGTGTGACAACCACAGCAAGAAATTTTGCTGAAGTGGGAAAGAAGCCGGAGTCAAGGGGTTTATACTGGGCATGGTGGGGGTGGGGGAACCATCACGTCACCATACATAGCAGGCGTTACCAAAAAGATTTCCAAAATCTTAAAAACAAGCACAAGATCCAGGTCCGATTCAGTACAGTACACAATCCCTGATCTAATCCCATCTGTGAAGGATGTCATTCCTGACATGCAATACCCTGGAGTTTACAAACTGAGTTGCATTTGTTTCGATTGTTACATTGGGGAAACGAAATGTCATGTCTCAGACCGTATCCGCGAGATTTGAAATACGGCAGGACTAAATTTTCCGCCATGGCTGATCACTGCTACAACGCCGTGGGCTCCCATGATATTGTTTTCTCCGAGACCAAAGTGCTCTGCAAGCCGTCTGGCTACCATTAAAGATTTGTTCATGAAGCCATCCAGATATACAAACACAGACATAACTTCAACCCAGAGGACAGATACAAACTGAGCAATCATTAAAATGTGTTATTAACCAAGTAAAATTGAACAGTTCATAGTTGTTCCCTCTTATTTACCGGATACTAGTTTATTTTACAGAGTTAATTACATCGTCAGCGCTTGGCAGTGCGGCTATTTTGTTGCGAGTGCCACCATCCGTGTTGGCGGCAATCGTTGTAGATGCGTGGTTCTCTCCCCACTGGCCCCTCTTCCCGCACCTACAGCCCCGCCCACTCCCCCCCCCCCCAACCATGGCCAGTATAAACCCCTTGACTCCGGTTTCTCTCCCACTTCAGTAAAATGTTCTTGCTGTGGTTGTCACACCTGATGATGATTGCTTGTGTTGCAATCGAAACGTCGTGATTACATTTTTTTATCTTTTATTTTCTTTACCTACGTGACTTTACCGAAAGAACCAAGAGTGAGGATGAATCCATAGGAGGGTTACAGACGGGGGTGGGGGGTGGGGGAGGGGGGGGTCCCTCACAGCTAAGGGAGCTCCCCGCATTCACTCAACAACCACCACATCCCCTGATGACGACGATTATGGTTGCCGCAGGAAAAGTACGACAGAAGTTCCGCCGTGCAGCTGGTAAGCCACAACGGTGGGGGCAGTGCCGGAGGCGCCAACGGCGGCAGGGGCGGCGCCGCCCGCTGGCTCCGCCGGCGTCTGGAGGCGGTGAACGAGCGGTTGACGGCGCCCACGGCGAGCGACCTGGTTCACGTGAACGCCAGCCCGGAGTATTGCGAGCGCGATGAGACTCACGGCGTCCCCGGCACGGTGGGGCCGCAGTACAGCGTCACCTCGGAGGGGGCCACCGAGGGACGCTCCGTCACGTGCTGTGACAGAGGATACGACACCTCTCAAGGTGCGCACCTCACCCCACCCACCCCCCCTCCCCTCCCCGAAAATAAACTAAAACTATTCATTAAAAAGCGGCAACTATTTCATATTACATAAAATCCGTGATCTAATCCCATCTGTGAAGGATGTCATTCCTGACCTGCAATGCCCTGGAGTCTACAAACGAAGTTGCACATGTGGTGATTGTTACGTTGGGTAAACGAAACGTCACGTCTCTGACCAGATCCGCGAGCACAAGGCCGATCTGAAACGCTCCAAACATACAGCAGCAGTCATTGTCAGAGTTGGGATTGAACCCACGACCCCTGCATATCAGGCGAGATAGTTAACATCTACTAGCCACCGTGATGATGATGAGACGCAGACTCCAAATATGCAGCAGCAGGGGCCGGCATCGAACCCACAACCTCTGCTGTCTCTCTCTCTACATGTGTGTCACATTTCAGTGAAAGGACATTTTGTGAATTTTTCTAATCTGGTATCGAGCAAAAATGTACAACTCAAACATAGCAGCTTTATTGTTGAAATTACGGACGGCCGAAACACAGAATTGGGAGCCCGCGATCTGAAACAGAGTCAGCCACTCGGCTTTCCACAAATAAACCATGGTAAAAAAAATGATCTCGTCCAGGAGTGTGAACCGTTGGAACAAACTCCGGTCATCTTGGTAGCAGCGGCTTTTTGGCTCGGCCATCGAACAAAGACGGTGGTCACCGCATCATTGTGCAGCGCTCTCGGATGTGCTTCTGCGGCCGTCTGGAATGCTCTTCCGATATTAGGAGGCGCTTAGATTTAAAGCTCTTCTTTAGAAGCACTTTTAGTGTTTGTCCTTCCCCCGCACCTCCTGAGCATGGTTAGCTATGTACCGTGTGAAGAAGTTCAGCACGCACACTATACACTGCAATGCACGACTACACTATACATCACACACTATACACTATGCTGCATGCTACACTATACAACTATACACCACTCTACACTATTCTACACTACTGTAATGTCCCTCGGAAAACTTGCCTTCGTTCTTTTTTTGATTAGGGCGCATCGTGCAGATAACATACTTTCATATCCTACGGTACTTCGCAATGACCAGCATATACAGCGCTTGGGCTAGGATAGAAACAAAAACTTGGGCTAGGATAGAAACAAAAACTTGGGCTAGGATAGAAACAAAAACTTGGGCTAGGAGAGAAACAAAAACTTGGGCTAGAATAGAAACAAAAACTTGGGCTAGGATAGAATCAAAAACTTGGGCTAGGACAGCGACCCAAGCAACGCCGGCACGGAGACGGCGACGTCAACGGCGATCGCAAAATTGCGATGAAAAAAATCTCGCGGTCAAAACGACAATGGTTCTCGCGTTCGTTTCGCACTCTCGCCCCGTGCCGTCCCCCCCCCCCCCCCAGTCACGGTGGAGAAGCAATGCGGATGCAAGGAACAACTCCACTGGAACGTCGATTGCAAGCTGTGCCCATGGACCGATCAATTCTTGTGCAAGTAGCCTCAAGCCGCAGTCAAGGGGTGGCCTCGGCTGAAATCGGACTCCATCTGGTTTCAGCCCTGGGTCCTGCGGGTGTTTGGTGACCCCCACGAAGTTTGTTTGGGGCACCACGGCATCCAGCATGCCCATCGCTACGAGCCACGTTACACTATACATTACACTACTACAAACGCTACACTTTGATACGCTACACTTCACTACCCTCCTATACACTTGCCAACATCCGCACGTGGTGAATTTCCACAATGCAGAAGCACCGTTGTTTTTGACCATCACCACTTTAATGGGGTTAGTGACTAAGTGGCCTTGTTGTTCCTTTTAACTCCGTTCTTGTTAACGCCGCGTTTTGCCAAATGTTAGAAACATTCACTCGGCACACTGAGGATTCACAGTGTGGTTCGGTGACCCCTACAAAGTTGTTTAGGGAGCCGCCCCTGCAGCATCCGTCATACCCTTCACTGAGCCGCGTTGCACTGTATACACTTCACGCTACACTTGTAGACAACCTTGCCTATAAAAGTAATTTTCTGTGTGTCTATCTGTGTGTGTGTGTGGACGTCGGGGATGCGTTCCTGAGTATCGAAACGGCGTTATACCGAAGCGATTGATAGTGTGATGGTGGTGGTGGTAGTGGTAGTAGTAGGTGGTGGTGGTAGTGGTGGTAGTAGTAAGTGGTGATGGTGGTAGTAGGTGGTGGTGGTGGAGGCGAAGGGGCTGAGAGGCGATGGATAACGAGAGAGGACGAACGGTTATGCTGTCAGCGACGTGAGTGTGGGGGTTGAGGCGACGCAAATCGGGTGGCGATGTTAATAAAGTGACCACCTAATTTGCGAAGCGACGTTAAATCAGAGTATCACGGTAATTTCTGTGCGTTTTGGGTCTCGATTAAGTCGGCTGTAGTGTTCATGATGGCGTATAGTGGTGCACTAGTTCTGCATCGATTGCAAATGATAACCAAACGGGGGGGTAGGGAGTGGGCGTACTCATGGATCCCATAACGCTCTCCAGCAACGCCTTATCCCACTGGAACAGTTTCATTACCGATAAACTAGAATCGCGCAACATTCGCGAGTTTCCCCTCCGTCTGTGCACACGTGCAGGGGCGGAGCCAGGATTTTGAGTTTGGGGGGTTGTTGACTTCAACATTCTGAGATATCCAGTTTATGTTTTCCAATGGGCGCCACAAATGTATGAAACAAATTTTATTCGATTTGAATGCGGAGTTTATTAATAGGCCGGAGCCGCTGACGTGGCCGATAAGTTCGATAAGTTCGAAAGGCTGCTGCTCAAGCAGCCTGCAGGGCAGCACACAAGGTGGCAGCCTGCAGGGCAGCACACAAGGTGGCAGCCTGCAGGGCAGCACACAAGGTGGCAGCCTGCAGCATTTTGCAGCAGCCGCATATCCGGTTACCCCGATGACCGACTTTCCCAAACTTTCAGGGGGGGCTAGGCCCCCCCAGCCCCCCCCCCTGTGGCTCTGCCCCTGCACGCGCGTGATGCCTCCCCAAATCGGTACGTCAGACGACAGCAAAAAAAACCCAACTGGGTGCGGAGTGTAAATGATGATAATTTAATTATCCAGGAAGTTACGCAGTGTCACGGGGACTCTCCACTTAGTAGGGCACCTTCGACATTTGGGTTTTTCATTTATTTTTAATCGCAGGATATTGTCAGCCAATGAATGAGTCGTGTGAACAAGCGTAGGAGGAAACCTGAGCACCCGGAGAAAAGCCGCTCCTTGCGCGAGGGGGGAAACACTCCACCCACGCCTCTGATTTTGCACGGTTGGCTACGTACGGTGCGATCAAAAGCTCAACGCGCGCAGCATTTTTATACGAACGGACAGCAGCCAAAAGGCATGGCGGTTAATCCACGATTGCTGCACCGCCTTCTGCTGGCGAGCCAGGGGTTATGGGCGCCTCCTCGGCGCTCACGGGCGAGGGAGTTTCGCAGCGTTCGTGCGGTGATCCACCTCCCCATCGCTGCCGCCCGCACGTGGCCCGCATCGCGGGTCACGTGCACATCGGTCGCCGCCGAACGATCGTGAAAGCGCTCGCACACGTGACACCTGCGTCTGTGTGGCTGTGGGTGGGGGGGTTTTTACGATGGCAATTTTGAAGGGTTCATCGTCATGAAGTGACCTCGCCCAAACATCGATTATGCATCATCATCGTTAACTCATCATCGTCGTCGTCGGCAGCAGCAGCAGAAACGGCAACTTTAACTCTCAATGCCCATCGTTATCACGGACACCGATTGTGCTCACTTGTTTTGACTTGGGTCGTAGGTCGTAGGTCAGATATAGCCCATCAATAGTACCGGTCAGAATGTGCCCTTACTCGGCTCTGTACGACCAACATGACGACCAACACTGACTCGCAGACACACGGGCAATCAAAGCTACCAATGATGTCGTGTAAAATTATGCCCACAATGATGAGGTCGAGTTGCCCATGGCTGGAATGTGAACTCACGAATGATTGATTGATTCGGAGACACGCAGCTCAAACGGCCAAGTTGAGGCCCTAGCCCCGGTGAGAGTGAGCGGTGTATCTTGTTGACTCCTGTCCATTTTAATTGATCCAAATACGACACGGTTCCTAATCTCTCTGGCTTGCGTGCCACCACGGGAGATGGAAAATTCGGATTTAGTAGGACTCTCCTCCTCCCTCCCACTCCCCCTCCTACCCTCCCTGCCTCCCTTGACTTTCCTGCCATGGACAGTTCTGAAGTCAGAATAATAAATTGGTTCCCGAGTAAAGGTCATTGAGCTATACTCTTTGGTTTTTTTCGGTAAAGTCACGTACGTACAAAATAAATAAAATAAATGAAAACTACATTTAGTTTTCAAATAAATAAAATAAAAGAAAACTACATTTAGTTTTCTTTTATTTTATTTATTTTGAAATTAAAACTAAATTTAGTTTTCATTTATTTTATTTATTTTTTCACCTACGTGACTTTACCGACAAAACCAAAGAGTATGAATCCTTTCAGTCACGACAGCTTCAAATCTGAAGAGTCATTGAGCTCATTTGTTTTCAAGGGTGCTGCGACTCTGCCCGCAGGCAACATCAAATCCATTTCAAGGTTACATACACAACATTTAAATAAACACAATTCAACATCACGCGCCTTGTCCTCTGATGACGAGAGATGTAACAATAAGCTATTAAGCGATGTTGTGTTATGGGTTTATGTTATTTGCCAGTGCGGTAGGGGGGGAGGGACCCTGCATGCATTACCGTCCAGTCGACCTTCCTGGCAAGGGGGCTGCCCAGTGGAGAGAGAAAAACGCCGCGGGATTTCCACCCCCGGGGGCTCCGCAAGCCTCGCGTCCTCGGGGAGATGGAACGCGAAAATTGGCAACAAACTCCCAGAGCCCCCCCCCCACTGTCCCCCCCCCCCCCGTGGTGGGGGGACCACTGCCACTTTGCGAGCACCAAATAGTGGCGGTGGAGCCTGCAGAGA